TCTCAATGGATTCATTACTTGCCCGATTTATTTATTGATTGATCAATGGATTGTCCTCTCCTCTTCCCCCTGTTCCTCTCTGTCTCCAGTCCTGGATGACCCTGTAGTGACGGTGCACCAGAGTGTAGGAGAGGCCAAAGAGCAGTTCTACTATGAGAGGACAGTGTTCCTGCGCTGCATGGCTAACTCCAACCCCCCTGTCCGCTACAGCTGGCACCGCGGACGAGACGTCCTCTCACAGGGCTCCGACAAGGGAGTGGAGATCTACGAACCATTCTTCACACAGGTAAGGCTGAGGCAATATACTATATACTTACTGTCTATAGGTAAGGGCGGGGTCAATATAGAGAACTCAATACTTTACACTCTGGGTGGGTTGATATGTATTTAAATAAATAAGGGTGTGCCCAGAGACTGCTAGGGGAAAGAGTGAGGGGAAAATGGGAGTGGGAATGAGAATGAAAGAAAGAAAGAGAGACATAACGAAGTAGGAGAGAGAGCAAGAAACAGAGTGGACTATTTGAGATAGTACAAGCAAGCGAGCCTGAGGTAGCTGGCTGCCCTTCTGAGCCTCCTGTTCCCTCATCTTCCTCTCCTCTCCCAGCCTACCTCTTCTTTTCCCTCCTCTCCTCTCCTCTTCTCTCTCTCCTCTTCTCTATCTCTCCTCTCCCCTCTCCTTCTCTCTCCTCTCCTCTTCTCTCTCTCCCCTCCTCTCCTCTCCTCTTCTCTCTCCTCTCCTCTTATCTCTCCTCTCCTCTCCTCCTCCTCTCTCTCCTCTCCTCTCCTGTTCTCTCTCTCCTCTCCTTCTCTCTCCTCTCCTCTCCTCCCCCAGCCCACGTCTTATTTTCCCTCCTCCTCTCTTTCCCTCTCTTCCCTCCTCTTCCCTTCAGTCATCTCTTCTCCAATTCCCTCCTCTCATCCTTCTTTTCCAAGCCCACTTCCCTTTCGTCTCTCTTCTCCTCTCCCAGCCCACCTCTTCTTTTCCCTCTGTCCTCTTCTCTATCTCCCTCCTCTCATCCTTCTTTCCCAACCCCACCAAGCGTTTGTACAGAGCAGGGGTGGCATTTCAAACCCAGCATGGGAATATGGCCTTGGTAATTAGCCAAGAAGGGACACACTTTCATTGTGGGCTCCCTCCTCCTCCTCTCTCTTCCCTGGCATGCCTTATTCCCCGTGGCGAGCAGAAGAATAACAGGAAGATCAGGAGATATGTTTGAAGCCACCGCATTTGTTTTCCTATTGCTAAATGTTAGCTTACCGTTTCTCTCTGGCGGAGGTTAGGAGGAGAGGAGAGAGGGATGGTGTTATCAAATAAAATGTTATTTGTCACATGCTTCGTAAACAACAGGTGTAGACTAATAGTAAAATGCTTACAGGCCCTTCCCAACAATGTTGTATTAATAATGCAAGATAATAATGTTTACATATCTTGCATTACTCGTCTCATATGTACTGTATATACTGTATTCTATACTATTCTACTGTATCTTAGTCTATGCAGCTTTGACATTGCTCATCCATATATTTATGTATTCATAATTCCATTGCTTTACTTAGATTTGTGTGTATTGGGTATATGTGAAATTGTTAGATATTACTTGTTAGATATTACTGCACTGTCGGAGCTAGAAACACAAGCATTTCGCTACACCCGCAATAACATCTGCTAAACACGTGTATGTGACCAATAAAATGTTATTTTATTTTATTTGAGAGATAGAAAATAGAGAAATAATAGAAAAGTAAAACACATAATAATAAAAGTAATAATAAATGCATAATGAGTAATGATAACTTGGCTATATACACGGGGTACCAGTACCGAGTCGATGTGCAGGGGTATGAAGTAATTGAGTTAGATATGTACATATAACTAGGAATAAAGTGACAGATAATAAACAGTAGCAGTAGCGTATGTGATGAGTAAAGAAGGTTGACTCATCACATACACTTCGTGTAGTCCATGATCACCTCCTGCCAGGTCTCTGACCTCCTCCTTATAGGCTGTCTGATCGTCGTTGGGGATCAGGCCTACCACCGTCGTGTCGTCGGCAAACTTAATGATGGTGATGGAGTCATGTACGGTCACACAGTTGTGGGTGAACATGGAGTACAGGAGGGGACTAAGCACTCACCCCTGAGGGGCCCCCATGTTGAGGGTCAGTGTGGCGGATGTGTTGTTGCCTACGCTCACCACCTGGGGGCAGCCCGTCAGGAAGTCCAGGATCCAGTTGCAGAGGGAGGTGTTCAGTCCCTTAGCTTAGTGAAGAGCTTGGAGGCCACTATGATGTTGAACGCTGAGCTGTAGTCAATGAACAGCATTATGGTGGTCTGCTTGAAACATGTAGGTACTACAGACTGGGTCAGGGAGAGGTTGAAAATGTCAGTGAAGACACTTGCCAGCTGGTCAGCACATGCTCTGTGTACGCATCCTGGTAATCCGTCTGGCCCTGTGGCCTTGTGAATGTTGACCTGCTTAAAAGTCTTACTCACATCGGCTAAGGAGAGCGTGATCACACAGTTGTACGGAACAGCTGGTGCTATCATGCATGGTTCAGTGTTGCTTGTCTCGAAGCGAGCATAGAAGGCATTTAGATCGTCTGGTAGGCTCACGTCACTGGGCAGCTCGTGGCTGGGTTTCCCTTTGTAATCCATGATAGTTTGCAAGCACTGCCACATCCGACGAGTGTCAGAGTCGGTGTAGTAGGATTTGATCTTGGTCCTGTATTGACGCTTTGCTTGTTTGATGGTTCGTCAGAGGGTGTAACGGGATTTCTTGTAAGTGTCCGGATTCGTGTCCCGCTCCTTGAAAGCGGCAGCTCTACCCTTTAGCTCAGAGCGGATGTTGCCTGTAATCCATGGCTTCTGGTTGGGATATGTACGTTCGGTCACTGTGGGGACGAAGTCGTCGATTCACTTATTAATGAAGCCGGTGACTGATGTGGTAAACTCCTCAATGCCATCGGATGAATCCCGGAACACATTCCATATTTCTGTGCTAGCGAAACAGTCCTTTAGCTTAGCATCAGCTTCATCGGACCACTTCCATATTGAGTGTGTCACTGGTACTTCCTGTTTGAGTTTTTGCTTGTAAGCATGAATCAGAAGAATAAAGTTATGGTCAGATTTGCCAAATGAAGGGCGAGGGAGAGCTTTGTATGTGTTTCTGTGTGTGGAGTAAAGGTGATCAAGAGTTTTTCTTGCCTCTAGTTGCACAGGTGACATGCTGGTAGAATTTCAGTTTCCCTTCAATAAAATCACCAGCCACTAGGAGTGCCGCCTCTGGATGAGCATTTTCTTGTTTGCTTATGGCCCTATACAGCTCGTTGAGTGCTGTCTTAGTTCCAGCATCGGTTTGTGGTGGTAAATAGACAGTTACGGAAAATATAGATGAAAACTCTCTTGGTAAATAGTATGGTCTACAGCTTATTCTAACTCAGACGAGCAGAACCTTGAGACTTCCTTAATATTAGAGATTAGGAGTTGAGGGAGAGAGCAATGGTGTTAGGGGTGGAGACGTGGAGAGGAGTAAAGGATGTTGCTGACTTGTGTTGGGAGGTCATTTTAGAACAATGCGACCAGGTCTTGTTGACATTGCCGTTGAAAGCTTTTGTGTTGATCACAAAGCTGTGTGTCTATGCATCCAGACCAACAATGCATCCAGACTCTTCATCCTTCATTCATCTATCCATATTCCCTTATATGGCCATCCCCAACGCCCTTTCATTCCTTCATTAATTCCTCCGTCCGTCTCTCTGTCTTACAGCCCCACAATCTCTCTCTATCCTTTCCATTCTTTCCCACCTTCATCCCTCTTTTCATCATTCCCTCCAATCCGTTACATCTCTCACACAACCCTTATTCTTTAATTCATCCCTCCTTCCAAATGTATTTTCTATATCTCCATTATTTTCTGCCTACATTTCATCGTCTAACCTCTCTCATATCCTCGTCCATCCCACCCCCTCTGTTCCTTCCTCCAACCACCTCCATCCCTCTCTCCCTCCCTTCCTCCTCCCCTTTGTCTTCCAAATAGATTTTTATTCCAATGTGTCTCCCACTGTGTTAAACTGGCCTCTGAATCATCATCCCGCCAGACACATCGTCCCCTATCAGCCAAAAGCAGAGAGGAGGAGGTAATACAGCTGCAGCCTCAGACAGAGTCCATCCCTCCCTCCCTAATCAAATACAATTAACATCCGAATGCCATGCAGTAGAATGATAATCATTGGGGGGAATGAAAGAGATGAGCGATTAGAGTTTGTGGGGACTCTGATTGTGGTTTGTGAGGACTGTGATTATGGCTTGTGAGGACTGATGTGCCAGGCTGACTGAAGTCCTAATCTTGACCCCCTGGTGGAGAGGAAAAATATCAAAGACTCTCATCACATCCCATCACAGGGCTCTGGCTGGGCCTGTCTGGAGTCACTGTCTCTGTGTGTCAGGCTACTGTGTGGTGGTGGTGGAGGAGTCAACAGACACACACAGTGAAACTGAAAGACCTCCTAGTGAGGCTGTCCAATGTGGAGTGGTGTAGCGGTGTGGACCACGTTGTGTGATCCGTGGTGTGATCTGCACAGTGGTTTCGCAACTGATTAAATAAGGGTAAACTGTGATTTTTATGATGACTTGTTTTAAAGTAAAGTTCATGAACTATATGTTACATTTGGAAACTTGCAGATTTGTTCCTGATTCTGTGATTTGCAGTAAATGTGAATGGCATAGGGTTGCAACATTCCAGAAACTGTACCAAGGTTTTCCAGGTTTTTGAGAAATCCTGGTTTGTAGGATTATTGGAATCAGAAGGGAGGGAATCATCCAACTTGGAATCATCCAACTGGGATTTCTGAAAACCTGTGTGGGAACTTTGTGAAAGTTTCCAGAATTAAAAAGCCCTAAATTAAGTGGAGATACTTCATGAAGTGTCTTTATTATGGTATTCATTCTATTCACACACATTTTCACACTAGTGTTATTCTGATTGTGTATCTGAGCTGCAGGGGGAGACGAAGATCTTGAAGCTGAAGAACCTTCGTCCTCAAGACTATGCCAACTACAGCTGCATCGCTTCCGTTAGGAACGTCTGTGGCATTTCCGACCGAAACATCGTCTTCAAACTCACCAACAAGACAGGTTAGTCTTCAAACTCACCAACAAGACAGGGTTGATTGATTTAATTTTACAATTTAAAATTAAATCCTCCCGAGTGGCGCAGTGGTCTAAGGCACTGCATCGCAGTGCTAGCTGTGCCACTAGATCCTGGTTCGTATCCAGGCTCTGTCGTAGCCGGCCGCGACCGGGAGACCCATGGGGCGGCGCACAATTGGCCCGGCGTCGTCCAGGGTAGGGGAGGGAATGGCCGGCAGGGATGTAGCTCAGTTGGTAGAGCATGGCGTTTGCAACGCCAGGGTTGTGGGTTTGATTCCCACGGGGGGTATGAAAAAATAAAAAAAATAATGTATGCACTCACTAACTCTGGATAAGAGCGTCTGCTAAATGACTTAAAAAAATAAAAATAAAAAAACACAATACATCCACAAATGTGGATTCAATGCATAGAAAAATGTGTCGAGAATAACACAAAAAAAGTTAAATACTTATTTCCATTGTGGTCCTCTTCAAAAACATCAAATGTTACACATTCACAGCTAAAAGCTGAATTGTAGTAAACATCACATGGCCAAAATAATTAAACAACTGTGCAAAGATTAAAACATAACACACTTGAATAGTCCTCTTGATAACAGTGGTTGCTCTCCCTGGGAATAGCTTGCAGAACTAGCCAGCCAGTGTCCTACACTGTCCAAACATAAACAAATATAATGTTGTCTTCAAACTCACTAACAAGACAGGGTAGTCATCAAACTCACCAATGAGACAGGTTAGTACCATAACATCGTCTTCAAACTCACCAACAAGAGGGGTTAGTCTTCAAAGTCATAAACAAGACATGTTAGTCTTCAAACTCACTAACAAGACAGGTTAGTAGCTTAAAACTTAAAGCCGATTTATGGTCAATCCGTATCTGCAGTTGTCGTACAGCATTTACGGCGATGCGGCCTCTGCAGAAGTCAGAGCATTCATACTTCTTGCGCTTCGGGGAGCTGTCATACGCATCCAATAAATTGGTCTGCACCACTTAAAAGGCACCACTCGTAGGGCTAATCTCAATAGCCAGCCAGCTAATTACGAGCAATTGGCTAAACAAAAAGACAAGACCTTACCTCTTCTGAGATGTTGGAGTCCATTTCCCTGTGCTTGACATAGGAGCTCAGCCAAGATAGCATGAAGTAAAAACCGGGACCATTATCCCACCTGCATCTCCGCTTCAACCCTTAATTTTTTTTTGCTTTATGAGCTTGTCCTGCAACTGCCTCCACTTCTTGTGGTAAAGAGGTCAATAGAATTAGACCAAAACAATGGAAATGCCATGGAAATGTGTTGGGGAATGATGCCGTGAGGGAAAGATCCCGAATCTCCTCATTGCCCCCAGCAAAATTAGCCTGCAATTAGGCTATGTGTATTTTACACTATGCTGAGGTAAAAATCGGAGTATAATGCTTGTATGGATGTCATCCCCAATACATGTTCATGTAATCATCATCAATCAACTGCATTACAGTTAAAAAACGGCTTTGACTACCACCACCGATTTCTGTATAATAGCTATGCTACCAGCTTATACGAACGGGAGTTAGCATTTAGCAGTCACTTCTAAACCTGAAAAGGGACGACATCAAAACGTTATGCAGTGAAAGCAGCCAAATATATCAAAATCAGACTTTAGTAACCACATTGTGGGCCTGTTACAATACATCAATCATGACGGATTTGACGAATATCCGCTTTGTTAGATCCGATTTGTTGAATGTGTGCCAATCCAGCGTCCTTCTATCTCCCACGGTCTGTGTTCCATTGGCTTTTTTACCGCATCTATCCCCATTATCTCCCCAATCTCTTTCCAGGAGTTCAAACTCATTTTCATGTCTTTGAAATCCCTACATGAGGTATCATAAAGATGTTTATATTTACGAACTTGTTCTGATAGCCTTTCGTCAAAGTTCTCCATGTTTGTTGTGAAGGACGTTGTCAAAGAAGTGAGTTTGTGTTTGTACAGGATGTACCACCCCCACCTACCGTTAACCTATTATGTCAGTGCGGAGCTATACAGAGCTATGCAGAGCCCTTTGCAATGTTACGGCATCGCCGTAAGGAGCTTGATTTGGCGTCCGGAGGCTCCGCAATTGCGTCACACCCTTCATACAGAGCCTCGGCACCGTATTGCCGGATCAAGCATAAATCATGTTTTACCAACAAGACAGGTTAGTCTTCAAACTCACCAACAAAACAGATTAGTCTTCATGCTCACCAACAAGACATATTAGTCTTCAAACTCACCAGCAAAACAGATTAGTCTTCAAACTCACCAACAAGACAGATTAGTCTTCAGACTCACCAACAAGACAGTTTAGTCTTCAAACTCACCAACAAGACATATTAGTCTTCAAACTCACCAGCAAAACAGATTAGTCTTCAAACTCACCAACAAGACAGATTAGTCTTCAGACTCACCAACAAGACAGTTTAGTCTTCAGACTCACCAACAAGACAGTTTAGTCTTCAAACTCACCAACAAGACATATTAGTCTTCAAACTCACCAAGAAAACAGATTAGTCTTCATGCTCACTAACAAGACAGATTAGTCTTCAAGGTCGCCAACAAGACACATTAGTCTTCAAACTCACCAGCAAAACAGATTAGTCTTCAAACTCACCAACAAGACAGATTAGTCTTCAGACTCACCAACAAGACAGTTTAGTCTTCAGACTCACCAACAAGACAGTTTAGTCTTCAAACTCACCAACAAGACATATTAGTCTTCAAACTCACCAAGAAAACAGATTAGTCTTCATGCTCACTAACAAGACAGATTAGTCTTCAAGGTCGCCAACAAGACATATTAGTCTTCAAACTCACCAGCAAACAGATTAGTCTTCAAACTCACCAACAAGACAGATTAGTCTTCAAACTCACCAACAAGACAGATGAGTCTTCAGACTCACCAACAAGACAGTTTAGTCTTTAAACTCACCAACAAGACAGGTTAGTCTTCAAACTCACCAACAAGACAGATTAGTCTTCAAACTTACCAACAAGACAGTTTAGTCTTCAAACTCACCAAAAAGACAGTTTAGTCTTCAAATTCACCAACAAGACATATTAGTCTTCAAACTCACCAAGAAAACAGATTAGTCTTCATGCTCACTAACAAGACAGATTAGTCTTCAAGGTCGCCAACAAGACATATTAGTCTTCAAACTCACCAGCAAAACAGATTAGTCTTCAGACTCACCAACAAGACATATTAGTCTTCAAACTCACCAACAAGACATATTAGTCTTCAAACTCACCAACAATACATATTAGTCTTCAAACTCACCAACAAGACAGGTTAGTCTTCAAACTCACCAACAAGACAGGTTAGTCTTCAAACTCACCAACAATACATATTAGTCTTCAAACTCACCAACAAGACATTAGATTCAAACTCACCAACAGATTTAGTCTTCAAACTCACCAAAACAAACAGTTTAGTCTTCAAACTCACCAACAAGACATATTAGTCTTCAAACTCACCAACAAGACAGGTTAGTCTTCAAACTCACCAACAAGACAGTTTAGTCTTCAAACTCACCAACAAGACAGGTTAGTCTTCAAACTCACCAACAAGACATATTAGTCTTCAAACTCACCAACAAGACAGTTTAGTCTTCAAACTCACCAAAAAATACAGTTTAGTCTTCAAACTCACCAACAAGACAGTTTAGTCTTCAAACTCACCAACAAGACAGGTTAGTCTTCAAACTCACCAACAAGACAGATTAGTCTTCAAACTCACCAACAAGACAGTTAGTCTTCAAGTCCCAACAAGACAAGTTAGTCTTCAAACTCACCAACAAGACAGTATTAGTCTTCAAACTCACCAACAAGACATATTAGTCTTCAACTCACCAACAGACATTAGTCTTCAAACTCACCAACAAGACAGGTTAGTCTTCAAACTCACCAACAAGACAGTTTAGTCTTCAAACTCACCAACAAGACATATTAGTCTTCAAACTCACCAACAAGACAGTTTAGTCTTCAAACTCACCAACAAGACATATTAGTCTTCAAACTCACCAACAAGACAGGTTAGTCTTCAAACTCACCAACAAGACAGTTTAGTCTTCAAACTCACCAACAAGACAGGTTAGTCTTCAAACTCACCAACAAGACATGCATCATAAAGTCTATAAGTAAACACCAAACCTCTATCCTCTTCCTCTCCAGTGTCTCCGTCCATCAAGCTGCTAGTGGAGGACCCCATCGTGGTGAATCCTGGCCAGACGGTGTCCCTGGTATGTATCACTACGGGTGGGGAGCCCAAACCAACGCTGAGCTGGGTCAGCAGCTCCGACAGCCTGCCTGAGAAAAGCGTGGTAAAGGGTGGAACACTCACCCTGCCGGCCATTACCTCAGACGAGGCTGGGGTATACAGCTGTGTGGCCACTAACAACGTGGGCAACCCGGCCAAGAAGTCTACCACGATAGTGGTCAGAGGTGAGAGGGAGGGAGAGGGGATCAGGGGTGGTAGTTGGTGTAGGTCTAACATACAATATAAAGTAGAATCCTTAGAACATCACTGTCGGCCTTGTCAAGAGGTTCCGACCTCTTGGTGTAGTGACATGGACTGTGAAGGACTGATAGATGCAAGGTCAGACATTTGAGTCCCGCTCAGGCTACTCATGGGCTATTTCTTTATGAATTTATCAGATTTTTTTGGGGGGGGGACCAACATTTTATTCAGTTTTGTCATTTTTCTTTTTCAGAGGGGGGTTACAGGTACAAAACAAAACAATCAAATAAATGCATACAAAGATAACCCCAACCCATTCCCCCCCTCAGTCCCCATCCACCCACCCGCATCCTCCCTCCCCAACCAGAAACCATGATTCCCACGCCGCCTTCATTCTTGCTGTCGATAATTATGTTATAACTTCTAATAATAACTGTATCCACTGGTTAAATGGGAGAAAGTGAGGTTGTTGCCATCTAAGAGCCAACATCTTTTTTTGCGGCAGTGCTGCCTGCAAATCTTCTCTGATTGATTGAGATTCAAGGAGCTATCATTGTTAAGTAACATAATAGATGGAAAGCATTGAATATTTATGTTCATGCAACTCTAAATGAATTTTGTAACTTTGCTAATAAGATTTTCACCATTCAATTGACAGGAATGGTTATTAATATGGTTACTACTTTCGTTACTACAGTATGTAAGCATCATTTTACAACGATTGACAGATCTCATTGTGGATGTTACCTTTAGAACATTGATCCTACAACATACAGCGCCAGCTGGCGACACATAAAGGGTATATCATCATAACACATACAGTGTTATGACTTGTACAATAGACAGACAAGGGCGAAGCCGGTGGCATGGGGATGCATGTGAAACCACTCATTAAAGAGACTTATTAACAGGCCAATTAGAGTTGTTAAGCCAAGGCATTCTAGCTAAAGGCACTGCAGGCTGTTTGGCTATCAACTGGGATAAGGACTTAGTGTCCAAGGCTCTTTCCCTCATGGTAATTGACAAATGGAACAACCAATAATTGTAGACTTGCCTTTGGGAGCAGCCAATGGGATAAGGACTTAGTTTGAAAGGCTCTTCCCCTCAAGGTAATTGATACATGGAGCAGCCAATAATTAACTTGCCTTTGGAGGAGCCATCGGTGTTCTGGCCATATAGTAGGATGAGACATTTGTTTGATTTATACAGTAGGAGTCTCTAATGTTGTGGTGTATTGGTATAATCTTGAGTGGAAGACTGTGTTGCCGATGAAATATGAGGTCCCAGAAACTGGGAAGGCAACAGTGAAGTAGGAAAAGCCTTATCACAGTGCATTTGGACATGCTGAATATGACAGCTGGTTAGGATAGTGGTGGTGTGTGTGCGTGTGCATGTGTGTATGTGTGTGCATGCATTTGTCTGTGTGTGTGTGCATATGTGTGTGTGTGAACAGATATGACACGGTATGTGAGTTAGTGTATGGTTTTATGTATGTGGGTGTGTGTGTGTGTTTGTTTGTGTGTGGCTGTTGATCACACCCCTAGTCCTTGAGAAGCCCTCTCATGCGGGTGTTGCCAAAGGGGCTGACTGTTTTTCACAGATCTGTCCTCAGCAGATGGTGGCGTTTCTGCCCATGCTCTCCCACCAGCCGGACTGGCTCACCCCCTCCTACAGTGCTTTGTGTATGTGTGTGTGTGTATGTGTGTCTGTGTGTGTGTATGTGTGTGTGTTTAGCCTGCCCCCTGCTACGGCTCAGCATGCTGTTGGCTCACCACAGCTCTACTGCCAGGACCCTTTAATGCATTAACAGAATGAGACACGTCTCCAAACACAGAGCCCAGATCTCAGGACTATGTTTTGCAACAAAGGACACTTTAGTGACACGATGACCTGGACAGTGGATGAGAGCTGTTCTCTGCCTCTGTCAACACTGAGTCTATTCGTTAGAGAATGTGTTCGCTGCAAAGTGTGTGTGTGTGTGTGTGTGTGTGTGTTTGTGTGTACGTTTCTTCCCTGTGCGTGTTATCCCTGTGCATTTTTAAAGCGGTAAGATTTGCGGGTGTGTGATGTGGGGAAGTGAATGTTCTGTCATCGTCTCGTCGTTTCGTCGTCTCGTCGCCTCACCTGACAATTCCTCCAGGACTTTCTTCTTTCCAGACAGCTCCAAAGGATACATCAGCCATTCCAGTCAGTGTGAACACACACACACACACACAAACATGCATGGGCACAACCCCCCCATCCCCCCCACAAACACACTCACACGCACACACACACATGCCTTATACACTCTGTAAAGGGCGTCCTGTGTTATTAATAGCACAGAAAGCTGCAATGGGTTTTATAGTGGGCCTCCCGCCCGCTGATGTTATGTAGACAGTTTGTTAGGAGAAACAACCTCCTCATGACGTGACTTGTAACAAACTGGCTGTTAGCGTGTAAATCAACATGAGAATGACTCTTATCAAATGTGCTCTGGAATCATTTGTTGTCCTGAGACGCATACATTTCCATTTATAAATGGCAAATGTAATGGTCCGGATGGGCGGGACCTGGCAGACAGACTGCAAAGTTGGGCAGCGGCGTGCATGTGTCCTGCTGGCTACTGACTGAACTTGTCAAGTAAAGCAGAGGTCAACCACAAGGTCATTCACAGCATCAATGGCATGTCACTCGTCTCCATTCAATCATTGGCATGTGTCACTGTGTGTGTGAGTGTTAACGTGTGGAGGCATGGTGTGAATGTGTGTATGATGATAATCAGAAAGGGGTGTGTGGTGGGGGTCCGGGGTTGGACGGTGTGTGTGTGTGTGTGTGTGTGTGTGTGTGTGTGTGTGTGTGTGTGTGTGTGTGTGTGTGTGCTGGAGGTCTGTTTGGCTGGGTTCGGGTACTAATGTCTTTGTCCCCTGTATGTTTTTACCCTTTCTAATGCCACCGAGAGGAGGTAGGTAGCAGGTAGACTAGAGGAGAGAGGAGAGGAGGTAGGTAGCAGGTAGACTAGAGGAGAGAGGAGGTAGGTAGCAGGTAGACTAGAGGAGAGGAGGTAGGTAGCAGGTAGACTAGAGGAGGAGGAGAGGAGGTAGGTAGCAGGTAGACTAGAGGAGAGGAGAGGAGGTAGGTAGCAGGTAGACTAGAGGAGAGAGGAGAGGAGGTAGGTAGCAGGTAGACTAGAGGAGAGAGGAGAGGAGGGTAGGTAGCAGGTAGACTAGAGGAAGAGAGGAGAGGAGAGGAGAGGAGAGGAGAGGAGAGGAGAGGAGAGGAGAGGAGAGGAGAGGAGAGGAGAGGAGAGGAGAGGAGAGGAGAGGAGAGGAGAGGAGAGGAGAGGAGAGGAGAGGAGAGGAGATTAGGTAGGTAGCAGGTAGCAAGTAGACGAAGAGGAGGTAGGTGAGGTAGCAGGTAGACTAGAGGAGAGAGGAGGGAGGGGTAGCTAGCAGGTAGATAGAGGAGAGGGAGGAGGTGGTAGGGTAGCAGTAGGACTAGAGGAGAGGAGAGGAGGTAGCTAGAAGGTAGACTAGAGGAGAGGGAGGAGAGGGGGTAAGCTAGCAGGTAGACTAGAGGAGAGAGGAGAGGAGGTAGGTAGCAGGTAGACATAGAGGAGAGGAGAGGAGGTAGGTAGCAGGTAGACTAGAGGGAGGAGAGGAGGTAGGTAGCAGGTAGACTAGAGGAGAGAGGAGAGGAGGTAGCTAGCAGGTAGGACTAGAGGAGAGGAGAGGAGGAGGTAGCTAGCAGGTAGACTAGAGGAGAGAGGAGATGGAGGGTAGGTAGCAGGTAGGACTAGAGGAAGAGGAGAGAGGTTAGGGTAGACTAGAGGAGAGAGGAGAGGAGGAAGGTAGCAGGTAGACAAGAGGAGAGAAGAGGAGGTAGGTAGCAGGTTAGACTAGAGGAGAGAGGAGAGGAGGGGTAGGTAGCAGGTAGACTAGAGGAGAGGAGAGGATGTAGGTAGCAGGTAGACTAGATGAGAGGAGGTAGGTAGCAGGTAGGCTAGAGGAGAGAGGAGAGGAGGTAGCAGGTAGACTAGAGGAGAGTGGAGAGGAGGTAGCAGGTAGACTAGAGGAGAGAGAGGAGGTAGGTAGCAGGTATAGACTAGAGGAGAGAGGAGAGGAGGTAGCAGGTAGACAAGAGGAGAGAGGAGCGAGGAGCTGGTAGCAGGTAGACTAGAGGAGAGAGAGGAACGCTAAGCTAGACCTGCTGATTACAAATGGGAGAGATGGATGGATTTATTGATGGATGGAAGCCATAGTGTGGTGCCAAAGGAGAGATGGACAGACTGATAGAGGAGACGGGGTAGGTCAGAGAGAGAGATACAGGTGTCACTGCCAACTTGTCAGCTAGCTCAAAAGAGGAGGGGTCTGGAGCTAGTGTTTGTTTATGTGTGTGTGTGTGTGTGTGTGTGTGTGTGTGTGTGTGTGTGTGTGTGTGTGTGTGTGTGTGTGTGTGTGCCCGCACATGCACTTGTCATTGTGCCCTTGTCAGAGGCATGTGGCCCTCCTGTAGCTAATCAGCTCCCATGAGGAGGTAGTGTAATCCAGCTGTGTGACTAGAGTCCTCTATGGAGGACCAACCCCCAACAGAGACATTCCTCTTTGTGTCATTATCAGCCTATTCATGTTACATGCCAACCATTAGTATTCACCACAGCTACTGTCATGGAGACTATTACACACACACACACACACACACACACACACACACACACACACACACAGACGCACACAGCTAATACATCAAAGCCAAGCAGAATATTACACTCTCTGCATGCACACACATCTGATTGGGTTCTGATTGGATTAATCCCCTAGGATACAGTCTGGTTTGAATGCTGTAGTAGATCAACTCAACATAGAGAAGACACAAAACAGCCTTCCATACTGTCAAAGTACACCGATAGTAACCACAACCACTCTTAACCATTTCATTCACTGATTCCCCATACAGTACCTACCTACAGTATATACAGTGAGGGAAAAAAGTATTTGATCCCCT